CAACTCTTCTTTGTAAATCATTTATTGTTCCACCTCTGGACATCACCTGATAAGTTCTCCCACCTACTGAGCCCTTTTCTCACTTAAAGCTAACATTTTATTTAGTCTCTTTTGACTCATATAGGTAAAATTCCCTGTAAAATCTTTCCCAGAACTTTAGTGAGAATTTTCCTATGCACTTTCTACCAATTCTAATAGAATATCTTACATATTATGTTTCACAATAATTATTTATTTAACAAGTGACTATAATTTTTTATATTATTTGGAGCATTTTTTCTATCCTAGACAGAAATAAATAATGATTTTAAAATGATAAAACATGAAAAGGTACATTAAGATAACTCTGTACATGGGAATACCTAAAGATGTTAAATATAAATTAAGGCTTTATTTGAAATGCCTTTCTGCAATCTAGATAATCATGATCAGGGTTGGCCAAATGGTGGTCTACAAAATTTGGGGGTTATATGTGCACTAGTGAAATTTGACGTGTCACTGCTCAATATTAAAAAAAAAAAAGACAGATGAGCATTCACTGAGAATTAATGAGACAGTGGGTGATGATTACACACCAAGACAGATTACTTACAAGCTGCACTCTTGGAAAGCTACAGTGGAACGAGCAAGTTTAATGCTAAGGTGATTAACAGTGATAACAAATGTGAGATGATGGCTTACTTCACAAGTTCTGACATGTCATGAAGCACCTCATCGGTTGAAATCCAAGGCTCTGATAGAGAAGAGGAAAAAGGCTGAGGCAAAAGATCTGGTTCCTGCCATAGTTAGTTATATATTTGTATTCATAAGATTATATCACAGATTCTTAATTTTATCAGGCAAAAAGTGGATAATTTCCAAGTGAAAATATAGAAGTGACAAAACAGGGATACAGACAAGACTGTGCCACCTCATACCACTATTAAGTCCCACTTCTATTTACACCAGGAGATGCCCTTTTGTTACTTTAATAATACAACATAAAGACAAAACAGAGAGTTACTCTTCTTAGACAATAATGTATAGCTCTCAAGTACAAGCAGGGAATCAAATTCTAGTGTCTTAAAATCAACTATTAATATAATAAAGGTAACAGAAACAAGCTGCATTTGCTGGTACTACATGTCAGGCATTTTTCTAAGGGTGTTACAAATATTTTTAAAAATATGCATGTAGTAACTCATTTAATTTTAAAATTGGACATACACCTGTAGCTTTACATATATTAATTTACTTCATTCTCAAAATAATACTATATAACTTAACAATGGGTACATTAAATAATATAACTAATGCAAACATCTATACTTTTATAATTACTGAAAATAACACAGTAGTACAAATCCACATGTATACAACCTATTGTTTCAACTCTTGAAACATAGAATAAAAAGTAAAAAGAGATGAGGCAAATATAACCACAAAAATTATATGATACATTTATGATAAAAAAAAATCATCCAAGAGAAAAAGCTACTCATTCTTCAATTCATTTGCATTGCTAATTCCCATAAGAAAGTTATCATAGGAATTCTTTATATTTCTTGGATATATTACCTTAAAAAGCAAATTCATTAATATATCTATAAACAATAAGTACTTACAGTTTACATTCTTGATGGTGTTCACACTCTTGTTTGTTTTTCACAAATATTTACTGAGAGTGGAAGAGTAGAGAGACTCTCTCACAGCAATTGAACTAGCCCAGTGGAGCAAAATCTCACTATACTCTGATATCAAAGTAGCTATTGCTATATTTCTATGTGATTTCTTGAGAACCAGTACAGCCAAACTTCTTCAACTACAGCTAACATTTATTAATGGTAATGTTAAGTTTCTCTGATGATAAACGCTATTTAAGAGCAGAATTTAGACTCTTTCTTAAATAGATTCACCCAACCAACTATCAACTCATCCTATTAGTCATAGATCCATCCACTCAATCAGTCACTGAACATATATAAAATGAAGATATGCATAAAGTGTTTTGTATCCAGCACTATATAGATGTTAGAAAAATAAACAATGGTGCATATGCCATGAAATCGAGGATCTTTGAATGTGACCAGAGAAGTCAACATAAACTTTCAATGTAGTATGACAACAATTTTAATGAGTGTGCAAAGTATTTTGGGAATAGCTACTGTACAGCAGAATTTTAGAATTCAGAAATGTTTCACCCATTAGAAACCATTTGAGAGAGACTATTTCCCTCAGAAAGGCCACACTATTAGAAGACATTGAGGTTGAAAAGATCACTTTATTTTTTCGCAAATGATGATGCATTTAGAATTATTCACTAGTAAATGATGCCTTCAATAGTTGAAGATGAGAACATCAGAAGGGGACATTTGTCTTCATATAAATACCCCTAGGTGAAATAAGGATTTAAAAAATCTTATTTATTTAAAGATCGAACTTGTGTCTAATAATTTTTTAAGAGCATTCTTTACATCTTTGTTTCTAAAGCTGTAGATCATTGGGTTAAACATTGGAAAGACAACCGTATAAAACACGGCCACCACTTTATCAGTGTCTAGAGAATAGCTGGTGCTGGGACGTAAGTACATAAATAAGAGCGTCCCATAAAACAAAGCAACTGCTAGGAGATGGGAAGCACAGGTAGAAAATGTCTTGCTTCTGCCTCCTGAGGATTTAATGCTCAAAACAGTAATAAGGATGCAGAAGTAAGAGATAAAAATGACCAGAAACGTGCTGGTCTGTAGGAAGCCACACAGGGCAAAGAGCAGAAGCTCATTGATGTGAGTATCTGCACACGATAAAGCCAGGAGAGGGGGTATATCACAAAAAAAATGGTTGACCACATTGGAACCACAAAACGGCAGCCGGAAGGTGAGACACACGTGCACCAGCGAAGTGATACTTCCACTGAAATAGGCCAACACGATGAAACAGAGACAGACTCTCCGAGACATAAGTGTGGAATAGAGCAATGGGTTGCAGATGGCTGTGTAGCGGTCATATGCCATCGCTGCCAGGATGAGGCACTCAGCATCAGCAAGACAAGCAAAGAAAAACATCTGTAGTGCACAACCGTATGGAGAGATGCTCTTCCTAGATGCTAAGAAGTTCACCAGCATTTTAGGAGCAATTGCTGTCGAGTAACTGATGTCTAAGAAAGACAAATTACTAAGGAAATAATACATGGGGGTTTGAAGGCTTGCATTGACATTAACTAAGATTATTAATCCCATATTTCCTACCACTGTTAGCACATATACTACTAAAAATACCAGAAATAGGGTGACTCTAAAAGGTAGATAATCTGTGAATCCAACAAGAATGAATTCAGTTGGCATGGTAAAATTATATTCCAACATCTTGGTTTTCTTGTTCTTCCCATTCAGGATAGACGGAATCAGTAAACGTGAGCTGACCTGAGTGGTGCTTGAAACAAAGATGTCTCTTCTGTACCTTGTAAGGAAACAAATAGAAGACATAAAATGATGGAATGCCATTCTTTTTCTTGTTTTCTTTTATTTCTGTTGAATATATATAATTAGAAATCACGCAAGGTTTAGCTCTCTTTCTTATCCTGGTATATGACAATGTTTTGTGGGAAGTCCCAAAGCTTTATCTGTCTGTCTATCTATCTATCTATCTATCTATCTATCTATCTATCTATCTATCTATCTATCTAAAGATTGGTGTAATAGATACTCACTAATAGAGTTGTAAACTGAAGCTATGAGAGAACATATCCGCTTAGAAGACATAACACACAACAGCAATAATAAAGGAGGGATACAAATAAGTTAGAGTGAAAATGGATTATTCAGCAAGAGGCCAGGGATTTGAAATTTTACAGCTGTAATTCTTCAAAATAAGCAATGCTGTAATGAGTAAAGGTGAATCAGTAATGGACCAGGTTATGGTGACATGTCTGGAAATAGAACATTCCTTCCTGAGTAAATGGCCTAAATCTTCTAGAGGCTCTAATAAGAGATAGATGTTTATATATATATATATACACACACACACATATACACATATATTTATATATATACATATATATTTATATGCAATATATTACATGTAATATCTTATAAATATGTATATCAGAGAAATGCTAGCAAATAGGCCTGAAATTACTGTGAAGTAATCCAAACTATGGGTGTGTCGTAAAAATTTGTTTGTGTATCTAGAGTGCGCAAATGTCTTTTCCAAACTTATTATAGCATTCAAACTGTCACTCCTGAGGAAAATGAGACTTCAAATTTAAAATCCCCATAACTGACAAGCATACATTTTATGTTTAGAGATGGTGATGGAAATATTGAGAATCAGCCATGCCTAGCAAATCATGTTTCATTCATCACTGAGACTTGCGGTCAAATAAGTGGACAAATAGAATTGAATGACTACAAGGTCATCTGTGACACAGATGAAATTAAGCATCACACTCACCACAGCCATAACAACAACACAGACAAGTTGCTCCTTTTCCTTTTTATTTGGACTTTCTAAGAAGTAGAATCTTGGTATACTCTGATAGATTACTGAATTACCAATATTAGTCATAATGATGATCTTGGAGACAATATGTAAGAAATAAAATTGCATGAGGGGGTTTCAAAAACTTTGTGGGGAATTTTCAGGAAATCTTTATTCTATTTGTCCACAACTTCTTTGAAGCCTATCATTCATACTTCACTAGATAAACACTTGGCATAGTTACCAGAAAATAAGGTATTATTTCTGTCTTTAGAGATGAGAAGACTGAATCATAGATATTTGATTAATCTGGTAAGCTTCATAGAGATTGTAATGCTTCAGTTCTCTTTTCTTAATCAAAGTGGTGCATATTGTATTCTGATTCAGTTAAATCGGGTCCAGGAACAAGACTCAAAGGGCGAAAGAGGTTGCATAGTCAGCAGAGCCTCCCTCAAACCCAGGCCCAGTTCCACAGTTTCTCTTTCTCTCACTTCGTCCCTACTCTGAGTTCTAAATATTCTTGCTGTTCCAAACTAGAGGTATGTGCTTCTTTTCCAGGTTTCATCAGAAAGCCTTATCTTGAAAGGCCAGACATCGAACAGTACTTATTAGACTAAGGACCTTGAAGTCTCACATGGTTTACTTCACCGTTCAAAGGATCTTCAGCTGAAAGTAGTAATGGAGAATACCTTAGGCAGTTGTTGCCTTTTCTCTGCAAAATTTAACTCAGATATCCTGCCCTTTCATTTTCACAAACATTGTGGACACTTTTTATTGACACACAGCCTACATGTTGGTTCATCACTGCTCTCAATTTTTGGATTGTGCTGTGTATTGACCTTAAGAGGCTACAGGACCAGGTGGGACCAGCTATTTTCTGTTGCACATGGAGTCACTAGGAGTTGGACTGGACTTGACAGCACATAACAATAACAACAAAAAATACTGATGATGCTGTAGGTACTAATAATCCAAGGAATTGTGCAAAGATGTGTACACTCGGTTTCCTTATATATGTACAGTAGCCCAAGCTTGTTAACTAGGGATGTTGTTCCAATCCCCATGATTCCTATTTGGTCTCCCTGATATATCTTTGAAAGAAGTACATTGAAAGTTTCTACTCACAAATCGCTCACTTGACTGACATGTTCACTAAGCATTTGAATAAGTGACCCACTGATGTCAATTAACAGGTCACTTGAGATCAAAGTCCAATATCCCTTCCTTGACTCCCCATGGCACCAAGAAGTCTGATACTAAATTTGCACTTATCAGTATTTAATCAATGAATGAGAGACTGACCCTTCCAAACAACTTCATTTATCCTGAAGGAGCCATCTCACAGTGCTTTGAACTCAGATTAATCTTCTACAATTTTGGTCCCAGTTGGTCTCAAGAAAATCCCACCTGACCAGCTGTGATTTCTAAAAGGTGGCTATGAGATAACTTTTGTTTGAGGTTCTGTTTAAAGGATTACTGCAGAGGAGAAAGAATATAGAAGGAAATATAGTAAATTAACTTGCTACTCTTTTTCAAATGGCATTGTGTACACGGGATTTGGAATAGGGCAGACAATTTAAATTCAAGTCTGATACCTAGTCCACTAACCAGTGAAATAGTCTAAATTCCAGATTCTAATTAATGAGCAAATTAATATAAGGTTGAAAGTAATATTAAAAAGAATGGATTATTAAATACCACTTTTTATTGGGCATCTTATAGATATACAGAAAGTGTTCAGTATTTATTATCATTAGTATTAGCCCACAATTTTATTCAGACTCATAGAAACCCTAATGGACAGAGTAGAATTGTTCCAGTGTTTCCAAAGATTGAAATCTTTATGGGAGCAGTCTGGTAGGTCTTTTCACTGTCAAAGCCACGAGTGGGTTGGAATTGCCAAGATTTCAGTTAGCCAACCAATACTCAACCATCAAAATGCCAAATCTCATTAATATTGCACTAATGTCTTTATTTGTACTTAATAATTTGCTATCTGGCTTTAAAATGATAGGTTAGGTAAATTTATATTTGTAGGAGCAAACACACCATTCATTTTGTGATTGTGTACATGTCATGTGCTCATAAAAACTTAAGCTACATTTACTGCTTTAGAGAATTATCAGAGCAGGGAATTCCCCCATTTAAAACATTAGCCCAGTTTCAGCTTCCCTTTCATTTAGAAAATGCCATGGATATTGTTGGGGCTCCAATCAGTATCATCACTGTCCCTAGGCTAAACCCCCACAAACACACTCTGACTCTGAGAAAAACTTACAGCAACAAAAAGATATATTGTGCCCCCTGAAGTGGGTCCATTATTATTGCCACATTCACAATGACATTTTCAGGATGCTTTATGAAATCACCTACCTTGGCATTATCTAGAAATTTGAATCGTAAAATTTACTTTATACACGGTGCTGGCAACATTTCTCTCCAGGTTGCAAAAATCCATGTATAAGGGATGAGTATTTATCTCTTAATCTGGTAGAAATGGGATATTATCCCAGGATACTCCCCAATCCCAAGGAGACTGGTAGGGCAATTAATTTCTTGCCCGTGGTGTGGCTGTTTTCTGTCAAATAAAAACAACTGAAATTTGGTAACCAGGTTTACTATGATGAAAGCACTTAGGACATATGTCCCCATTATTTTGGATACTTTTGATTAAAACAATAATCATTTTAATTACACTAATGAATGACAAAAACTATTTCTCTTTCAACTGTTATGATGCCTCTCAGTTCCCACTGACAATTGAGATACTTTGAGACTTTGCAAAAGATAAAGACAATATCCTAGGAGAGAGAGGTGGGCAAAAACAAGGGAAGGAAAAATAAGACAAACTATGGGCAAGATGGGTCAGTTGTTTATGTTGTTGAACACAAAATGATGACCTGATATGCAAACTCCAACTTAATTCACAATAAAAAGTTTATAAAAAAATATACGCTTTGATGTATTCATGTCTATGTAGACAAGCCAAGGTACTACTATTGAGGAGAAGGCGAGCTTTTCTGCTCCCATAAATCTTTGAAGGCTTAGAAACCCAAAGGCATAGATCTACTCTGTCCTATAGGCTCGTTGTAAATTGGAACTGATTTGATGACAGTCAATGTGGCTTTATTGTTATTTTAGAGTTTGTAGAATATACAAGAGTAAGTCCAAAAGTATTGTTATGGAATATTTTTTAAAACTTTGTTTTTGTTTGTTTGGTTGGTTGGTTATCAACTTGTAAAGCTATTGTTACCCACATGCCCACTATCTAGGTCTGTCCACTTCTGAAGATGATGTTTATCTCTCTTTAAGGCTCCCCTTCAAATACCTGAGTGACTCAAATACTGTCCTTGAGGGAATCCAATACTGTTTTTTTTGAAAAATACTTTGAATTGTGGAGATAAAAATAAGGGACAAAGGATCTTGTCTGAAGGGACAGAACAGGGCTGTAGGACTCATGGGTAAGGTTTTCCAATGTACTTCCTGAGCAGGCGCATATTTGTGAAGAAAATAATTCCTCTGAGTATTTTCATGGCCTTTTAATCACCAATGCAGTTGTCAACAAGTTCTTATAACTTCTTTATAAAAAGCCCCAGTGACCATCCTGCGTCTCTTTTTTAATTAAATCATTTTTATGGGGGTTCATACAACTCTTATCACTACCCATACATACATACATTGTGGCAAGCACATTTGTACATTTGTTGCCATCATCCTTCTCAAAACATTTGCTTCCTACCTGAGCCCTTGATATCAGCTCCTCATTTCCCCCGCCCTCCCTGCTCCCCCCTCCTTCATCATGAACCCTGGATCATTTATAAATTATTATTATTTTGTCATATTTTACACTGTCCAACGCCTCCCTTCACCCATTTTTCTGTTGTCC